TAAAAATTAGGGAGGATGTACATGTATGTTAATGAATGTAGGAAGAAAACTTAATTAGATGCAATCTTCTCAAGAAATGAGCAGAGCATAGAAGGAATTAAGAAATTTCAGGAAAAAATTAGGCTTCAACAGATGCAATCTTCACAAGAAATGCTTAATTTAACATCACAGTCTTTCATAATGAAGCGTATCTACCAAAGGTTTCCTCACAAATTTCCCTGAACTCCAAGAGCTCCCATGTCAGTACCCACTCCGACCCACCTCCTCCGGCAACCCCGAGCTGCCTCGACTTCTTCTTCGAGGTCGCGAGTGCGCAGCAAGCCGCCGACGGTACAGGATTGGGGGGTGAGGGGAGAAAGAGAGAGGGAGGGAGGGGGCACCTGCGAGAACGAACGAGAGAGGACGCCGGCCTCGGAGTGGCAGTGCACGGGCCAGCGACGACGTTCCTGGACAGCAGAGTCAAGAAGGGCTGGGAGCTGGGGCTTCTCCGGCGGGAGAATGCGGCGGCGGCGGCGGGTGCTCGGGCGGCAACGGCGATGGGAGTGGCAGCCAAGTATAGTACTACTCCAGGAGTAGGAGTTGTTATCCTTTTTCTCGTGTCAGTTTTGCAGCGTCGAGAGGGTTTTATTTCCTGGCCTTTTGACATGGTAAATGCTTGTGTTCGGCGCACCGGCCGAACTTTCGGCCGGCCGCTCCGCGCAACACGCTAGCTCACCAGGCCACGTCCTCCAACGTGGGCCAATCTTATCGCTTCTCTCACCGTTTTTCCCTCTCTCTTCCTTGTCTCTTCTCTGAAACGATGCCAGCCTTTCGTTCCTTTTGCGTCTTGTTTCTCTGCTTCTCTGCAACTTTCCCCACCATGCCCAACTCTGTATCACCTTCTCCTTCCCATAATGACCATGGCCGCTGCCATCGGAGACACGTGAGTCACGGCCGGCTGTACATCGTTGATTTTGATGGGAGCCCAGCGAGGAGAAGTTGCAACCAGGGGCGGGAGGGATGTTGGAACAGGCTCTGCGGATTGCTACAACCTGGTTGTCGGCGAGCTACAATCGACTCACCATCGAGCTGCCATTGGCACGGGCAGCCGGCTGCAACAGTCTCGGGGCGAAGCTGCAACCAGGGCGAGGGATGCTGGAACCGGCTCCCACGGAAGCTGGGACCGCGGCTGGCGTGCTGGAACTGGGGCATGCTCTCGTGCTCGAATCAGTACTTAACAATGCTGGAACTAGCAGCAAGTGGCCGTGCTGGAACGCCATGCACGCGATGCTTGAAAAGCTCCACGACGAAGTGAAAATGCTGGAACCGGCCGATGAAATTGCTGGAACTTGTCGATGAAATTGCTGGAACCGGCAATCACATCGCATACAACTTTTTGTTGGAACCGGGATTTTTGTTGGAAGTTGCAATCGGGCGATGAGATTTGCTGGAAGCGTTGCCGGCGAAGCTGGATCCAGTAATTTTTTTTGCTTCAAGCGATGGAAGTGGTGCCGTGACGACGAGGAGGTGGTGCTGCGGCGGGCTGCAACCGGTACATGTAAAAGCTACATCCGGCGATTTGTTTTGCTGCGTTGGTAATATGGGAGAAGTGGTTACTCTGGATACGACGGCGAGTGGCGGCGCACCCGTGCATCGGGCCTTGATGGCAAGGGCTATGGGGAGTAGCCGGCTAGGGCGGGGGATCCGCGATGTTTGGCGCTGACCGTGCCCTGGAGTCGGGCGCGTACGATGACCTGGGACAGAGACGAGCGCGGAAGGGAGAGATGGTTATTTTCTCTCGCAATCATACAACGTTGGGTGGCGTAATCCTAGGGTCCGCACGCGTCCTGCCCAAATTTTCGTCGGTGCGCCGGCGCCTAGTAGTGGCCAAATGTTTACTGCCGGCGGACCGGCTGAGTTTTCGGCCGGCCAAACGTGCAGCGTTCGATCCACTGCATCGTACGTCCCTGTTTTCTTTTCCTTTTTTATCTACCTTATCTTCTTCTCCCACTTCTCGTTCCTTATCCATAAGCAGCACTCGTTTTCTTCTTCATCGTTCTCATGTTGCGCTGCTTTTCCGTTGCTCCCTCCTCAATCTCCATGATCCCGGCGCTGCTGCTACAGACCAACCGCCGCCGCTGCTGCAGACCAACCACCGCTGCCTGCTGCTAGGACGAGCTACCGCGGGCGGAAAAAACATCCATAACCAACACCTCCTTCCTCTAGCTCTCAAGCAACCTACTACATCTCTGGGCCGTGTGTGCCCGGAATGCATGCTGCAACGGCGATGGACGGGTGCAGCGACCAACGGCGAGCGTTGGCCCGTGACTGGCGTATGCAATGCTGGAACCGTCGTTGATCCCGTGCTGCAATCGCTGACAAAATAGCTTCAACCTCTAGATGGAAAAGCTTCTACTAGCTAAAAAGAATGCTTCAACCCGGCACTACTAATCGGGGGAAAGCTACAACCGTTGGTATAGAATGCTTCAACCTAGATGAAAAAAGCTTCAACCAAACTATAGAGAAAGCTTTAACCAGGCGAGCTGATAAAATGAAAAGGCTGCAACCATTGCCAGAAAAGCTTCAACCGTAGATGATAAAAGCTCCAACCCGCAAGAGAGAAAGCTTCAACCAGAGACACTGCCCAACCAGAAAAACTGTAACCGCTGACAGAGAAAGCTTCAATCGTACATGGGAAAAGCTTCAACATGCAACTGGCTGGGGACAAAGAAAGTTGCGACCGACGACCGGGGGGTGGGCGAGACGAAGATGCTACATACTTTTTTTTTGCTGGAATTGGTGACCGCGGTGACCACGCCCGCCAGATGTTGCAACCGCTATCGCTAGATGCTGGAACCGGCATGATTTTTTGCTACTACGGGCGGGGACCGTGGTGACCACACCTGCCAAGTGCCGCAACTGCTCTCGCTGGATGCTGGAACCATGTCGGGCGTTGCTGCAATCACAGTGACCACGACCCGCCAGATGTTTGACCATAGACAATGGCGAGGCCGGGAACCTCAACAGCGAGGTGGCGGGGCGAGCCAGGCAGGAGTAACGCGTGCTGGGGAGGGGGGACGACGAGCGGCTACGCTGGAAACGGGCGAGCTGCAGCCTCGCTAGTTGCGACGGTGACATGCGGCGCTGTGAGCCGTCGCGAGGGTCTCGCTGGAGATGCGCGGTGTTGTGAGCGCCAGCAGCGGCAAGAGCGGAGTCCACCATGGACGGAAGTTGACTAGCTGCGGCAGCCTCGGATCTAGCCGTTGACTTCTCCTATGCGTGCGTCGTGTGTATGTTTATTTTTCGTGAGACAAGTAGAACATATCTAATGGTTAGGACCACTCCAATTGAACGATGCAGGAACGACCGGCCGAAAGCTGGTGCCGGTGCGCCGGCGCCCAGCACTCGCCTTTTGACATCGACACATCCTGAGGACCGGGCGTCGACCCGTTGCCTGGGCAGCTGAGGTTGCTGCCGGCCCACCCGGGTTCGAGTCCTGGCACGGACGCGCGGTGTTCACAGAGTTTCTTCTATAAAGAAATGCCAATGAGGGTTAGCCCTTGGATTGGTCTCATTTTTTGACATCGACACATCCTACGCGGTTGCCAAAACCACGTGCCTAATTTTCCTTATTGACTCTAATTTTTGAAAAATATTCTGATCTATTAGAACATCTACAGCCGGAGTTGGCAAATCCGGCTCCCTATACAAGGCATGATCGGTGCAATCGTCAAAGAGATCAAAACTAGAGCAGCTCTTTTTAATTGTAATTTTACTTTTGAAGGTCGCGCGGCCAATGATGACCCACATAGTTTAACTAGACTTTTTTTTATCTTTAGCTTCTAATCGTTTTGTCTTGTTTGGCAAACCACATGACACAAATTGTATCCCACTAGTCGTGGTCTTTGATCGATAAAGATTAGCTTTATCTCTAACAAAAGGGAAACGTTTGGAATCGGCGCACCGGCCGAACGCTTCGGCCGGTCGTCTTCTCGCACACGCATTTATCTCTCTCGTTCTTTATTTTAGAAAAAAAAGCATCGCAGCTCATTCATGGCTACTGCAGCCTTCGCCCACCGCCTCGCTGAGCGCCTCCGGGCAGATCCGCGCAGTTCCTCCAAGCCGGCTTGCCTCCCCTGTCGGATCTCGTCCGCAGGCCGTCATGGAGTCGCCGGCCTCCCCTTCCCGTCGGCATGGGGGCGATCCCTTTTGGCCTTTTTCCGTTTCCTCACCTGTTCCTCCTCCGGCGAGCAGGCCGCCGCCTCCCATGCCACCTCCTCAACAAATCCCCCACGCCCTCGCATCCGACGCCACCGGTGTTGGAGACGAAAAGCCATGACCAGAGACGGTGATGTTGCAACCGGCAACGAGAAAAGCTACTACCGGCGATGAGAAAAGCTACGACCGGTGACGAAAAAAGCTACGACCAGAGACGATGACGTTGCAACCGGCGACGAGAAAAGCTACAAACGGCGATGAGAAAGTGGGTCGGCCGTTGCGCAACATTAAAAGCTGCAACCGGCATTGTCGAAAGCTTCAACTGGAGACGACAGGAATCGAGGGCCGCCCACCATGCAACCGCGGAAGCTGCAACCGGTGACAAAAAAAGCTTCAACCGGCTAAAAAAAAGCTTCAACCGGCGATATAAAAAGGTTCAACCGGCGGCAGCGAAACGCAAAAAGCTGCAACCGTTGACACAAAAGCTTCAACCATATGTTTGAAAAGCTTCAACTAGAGACCGGCGAGAAAAAAAGCTGCAGCAGCGAGCCGTTGATGCAGACAACGTTTTCTATGCATCAATGGTGCTGTGGCGGATGCTGGAGCCGGCGCCCCCGCCATTGCTGCATAGGGAGGAGCGGACCAGTGGGCGCTGGTGTTGCAACCGGCAAGCAGCGATGGCGAGTGGCGATGAGCAGCGACGACGAGCGGCGACGGCGATCGACGGCAAAATGCTACAACCGGCTTCTAGAAAAGCTACATCCCGCTTGTAAAAAAGCTTCAAATATAGAACGGTAGCTAACAATGGCGAGCGGCGACGACGGAGCTGCGCGGCGGTGTTGCGACGGGGACGCGTGGCGAACTATGACGGCGGCTGGTGGCGATGCTGGAACCCTAACCGGCAGTGCTGCAACCAGGGGGTAGGAGACAGCGACGGACGGCTTTCTTTCGAGCAGCCCCGGCGAGCTGCGACGGCGACAGCCCCGGCGAGCTGCGATGGCGAGGGCCTCGGCGAGCTGCGACATCGATGGCCCCGTCGAGTTGCGACGGCGAGCAGCCTGGGCGAACTGCGAAGGGGCAGCCGTGGGCGGAGGTTGACCTGCGGAGATTTTTTCTTCTCTCGCGCGCGTGCGGTAGGAGGAAGACGACCCGGGGGAACGCGAGGGCAAATCTCGTCCATTGATGCGCGCATATCCGACGCTTGGCAGCTGACCGGCCCAAATTTGGGCCGGTGCGCCGGCGCGTATCAGCGCCCTTTTCCAAAAGCTCCATCCATCCGACGTGCCACATATGGTGGCTCTTTAATGTGAATGTACTTTTTTAAAAGAAAACTTTTGATCTGTTCATCATGGCATCATAGTATAAAGAACACATAAATAATAAAAAATATATCCATGTATGTCGACCACCTAGCGACGAGTACAAGCACTGGAGCAAGCCGATGGTGCG